TAAGATTCGCACGACATGTCTTGTGGGCGGTGAAGTCACTGCATTGTGCTCAAAATTTTTTTCAGTAAAAACAGTATCAGCGAACAAAACGAAGAGCAAAAGGTTCTTTCAAACAAAGAAGGGCGAGGGTGAAAGCAAGCATGTGGCGGTGATGTACATTTGCTGGATAAGCCAAACTCTCTCCTGGTAACTTGAAAAAATGTCACCATCGGCGCTACTGTACAAACTTGCAGGCACACTCAGCCACATTCTCGCGTGATGTAGCTCATACCGAGCGCGATAGTACACCACCTTGCGGAACTCCTGTGTTTTGGACAAATGATTGGGAGAGAACACTGTCCACTCGGACAGAGAATGTCCGATTTGACAAGTAACTTTGGATTATGCTAAACATTCTGCCACGCACGCCAAGGTGGTACAGGTCTCTTACTATTCCAAAGTGCCATGTTGTATCGTAAGCCTTTTCGATATCGAGGAACACAAAGAAAAAATATTTCTGTGGACGAAAGCGCCTCTGATCTGTGCCTCCATACGAACAAGATGGTCAGTGGTGGATCTACCCTCTCAAAAATTCGCACTGAAATGGGTCCAGCGAATTGTTTGTTTCAAGGACATGTACAAAGTTGGCAGTTTATCATTTTTTGAAAAGTTTACACAAGCAGCTTGGAAGTGCAATAGGCCTATAACTCGAAACTGAGGAAAGGTCCTTTCCCTCTTTCGAAATGGGAATAATTATAGCCTCTTTCCAGGAAGTACGGATAGCGCCAGAAAATCCAGATAGCGTTGTACAAGCAAAGTAGGGTTTTTTGCATTTCAATGGTAGGTTTTCCAACATTTCGTACACTACACGATCGGAACCATGTGGCGGAATGACTGCAGGAGTTTAGTGATGTTTGGAGCTCGGCTAAGCTGAAGCTAGGTTGTATGCGTCATGTTTTGTTTTCTAGTTTTTACTTTTCAATTCTCCTTTTGTATTTTTGGAAGGCTTCACTATAGTGCGAAAGAGCTGAACAATTGTACGAAGTGTGTGCCGAGGAAGTGTGCTTGATCTTCTAAGCTGTCACCTTGTGTGTTAATGAGAGGAATTGAATGTACTTGTCTTCCTGCTATTCTTCTAACCATGTTCCATACTTTAGCCTCCTGAGTATATGAATTGATGCCCGATATAACGTTGTGACAACTTTCCCTTCTTGGCTGGTGGCGCATCCTCCTTCCTTTATGTTTTTTAATTTTATGTTTTTAAAATTTGTATGGTTTTCTGCTGTCAGAGAGTCTTGAAGCAGCTTTCCTGCTTTATTTTGCTTTCTACGTGCATTCTGACTTTCACTGTTTCATCAAGGGACGTATCGCCTGGTGGTTCTTCCAGTTTAAGGGATATTCTTGTTCTGGCATCAATAAAAAGTGCTGTCAAAAAGTCTACAGCTGCATCTATACTTAATTGACATATGTCCGACCAATTTAAGCAAGTAGCTTTTTTGAACTTTTCCCAGTCCGCTTTGTCTGTCTGCCATCTGGGAGCATGTGGAAGACCTTTGTCTATATGTGTACTTAGAATGATCGTAAAGTGGTCATTTCCAAAAAGATTGTTGATCACTTTCTATTGTAGCAGGATTAGAAGCGATGGGGAGCAAATGCTGAGATCTATGCATGAGTAGCTTTTGTTGGCGAGGCTAAAGTATGTTGGTTCTTTGATGATGATATGTAGGTTTTAATGGTGCAAGGGCCATGTCTTGGCCAAAGAGCGCCATGGAAAAAGGTGAAAGAGTGGCAAACATTTGCAATGTAACAATGACATGTGCAGTATATCAACTAAGATGATGCTACAGGGCTGTATAGGGGCCTGAAATTGCTCGTCTTAAGACGGATAAAACATAATATCTTAAAACCATGTTAGTGAGGTGAAATAAATAACTAAAGACTAATGGCTATACTTATAGTAAAAAAATAAGCAAAACTTTGGGACTGAGATCTTATTTAGCACATTTGCCTCATCAGTGCCCTTAAACACAAGAGCTGCGAGGCAGGGTGCTGTCTATGCGGCTACTGCAAGAGCAACCTTCGGATGGAGGCCGTGCTACAGGTCACCTCGAAATATAGTGTTAAAACTATGTACTTCTTTTAAAGATGCCAACAACAGAGCATCCCTACCTATAAATATAGAAGGGTGCAGTGAAAGCTGCTATCGATACGGAAGTAAAAAATGTTTTTTTTTTTCTGATAGCATCAAACTCGCTGTACTCGACAAGGATGTGGAGAAATAAGTGCTTCACCAAATTTGTCACAGCTAGGTTGTTCACCACACAGGCTGACTTATATACTATTGCCCCATAGTCAAGACGTGAAGGTACCAGGCTTTTGTACAGATTCATGAGGCACTCTCTGTCACTGCCCCAGGATTTGTGCGACAGTAACTTCAGGATATTCATTATTTTCATGCATTAATTTTTAAGGTGTTTGATGTCTGATACGAATGTTAGTTTTGCATCCAAGATTATACCTAGGAACTTATGTTCTGTGTTTACGGGCAGACGTTCACCTTTCGTGACAATCTGAGGATCAGGGCGTAAGCGTCTTTTTCGTGTGAACAGGACACATGTGCTTTTTTGTGGGTTGACTTTGAACCCATTTTCATCAACCCATTTGGACCCTTTGTTTATAGCAAGCTAGACCTGTCGCTCACAATTGTGGAGGGAACACGATTTAAAAGCTATCTAGATGTCATCAACTTATGTGGAGTAAAATATGTTATGGGGTATGTACTGACGGAGAGAGTTCATTTTCATAATAAAGAGTGTGCAGCTCAGTACCGCACCCTGTGGTACTCCGGTTTCCTGTACAAATGTTCGGGACAAGACATTGCCGAGTCGAATTTGGAATATGCGATCATACAGGTAAATTTATTGTTACTGAACATATTACCACGTATACCCATATGCGAAAGGTCTCTCAATATCCCAAACCTCCACGCTATTTCATAGGCCTTTTCCATGTCAAGGAATACAGATAGAAAAAGCTGGCTATGGACAAAGGCTTCACGTATGCGTGTCTCAATCCGTACGAGATGATCGGTGGTGGATCGGTCTTCTCTAAACCCGCACTGGTATGGGTCTAGCAGTTTGTTTGATTCTAGGAAGTGGAGTAGGCGGCAATTAATCATTTTTTCGAAAACTTTACAGATGCAACTGGTTAATGCTATAGGCCTGTAATTTGATGCAGACGACAGATCCTTACATTGCTTAAATTGGAATTATCACAGCTTCCGTCTAAGAAGAGGGGATCACACCAGAAAACCAGATAAGATTATAAAGAGAAAAAAGAGTTTTTTGTGTTTCTGAGGGTAGTTGCTCCAACATCTCATACAGTATGGTGTCAGGACCTGGGCAAGGTGTGTTGCAACAGTTCAGTGCTCTCTGGAATTCTGCTAAGCAGAATGGCTCACTATAAGCTTTGATTTTTTTAGATTTCCTTTCTAGGTTTTGTTCCAACTGTGCTTTGTATTTTTGGAATGCGTCAGAGTAGTGTGAGGAGCTCGATATATTTTCGAATTGTGAACCAAAAAAGTTGGCTTGCTCCTCCAAGCTTTCTCCGAGGGTATTTACTAATGGGAGAGAATATGTTTGTTGGCCTTTAATTTCTGGACTTTGTTCCACACTTTTTTTTCATCTGTGTATGAATTGATGCTTGTAATAAACTTTGTCCAGCTCTCTCGTCTGGTTTGTCTGCATGTTCTCCTTGCCTTCGACTTGACCTGCTCAAAATTTTCCAGGTTTTCTACTGTTGGAACATCACAGAGCGATGCGCACACTTTGTTCTGATTCATCCGAGCTTTCCTACAGGCATCATTCCACTGTGAGACTCGCCGTTTAGAACTCATTCTGCTCGTTTGATTAATGCACGTATATGTGGCATCAAGAATAAAAGCTATGAAATACGCGACAGCCTCATCTATGGTCAGAGAAGACAACTCAGTCCATGTCATGTGAGTAAGAGTTTGGTACTGTTCCAAATCAGCTGAGTCAAGCTTCCAACTCGGAACCTGCGAAGATAGTCGGCCTTTCTTTGGCACGCTCAAGATGATCGGAAAGTGGTCACTCCCACAAATGTTTTTAAGACGATTCCATTTAAAACCGGCTAAAAAGTGATGGTGATGAAATGCTTAGATCTATCTAGGAGTATGAATTGTTTGCGAGGCTAAAATACGTAGGCACCTTTGTGTTTAAGAGACATAACCTAGACGAATAAAGAAGCTGTTCATTGAGACGTCCTCGAGCATCACAGCACATTGCAGCGCACGCGAGCATCACCCCACAGGGAAATGAGTGCGTTAAAGTCACCTAAAATCAAAAAGGGTTCTGGGAGATAATCTAATAATGATTCCAATCACGCCTTTGAGCTGATGGTGAGGTGGTATATACAGAAAGCATAAGGTGATGAGTTTGTTAAAAAAGTACACCTCGAGTGGTCACTGCCTCAAGGGCTGTCAGGAGCTTCATCTGCTGGCATGCCACACTTAATCGGCTATCGTGATAATACGGCAGCATCTTCACGGCCCTTCCAGAAAATAGCTACTAGCGGAGAAAGTTCCTGTATTTAGGAGTTAGATGTGTTTCTTGCACACACAGAACTTTTGGGTTGAACTTACTGAGAAGTTCTTGTACATCACCTAGATTTCTGAGTAGCCCACTAACATTCCACTAAATGATTTTATCCATTATGAATTAAAAAAAGTGCTGTGTGTAGAAATGATTGATATTGGTTAATTTTACAGGGCCTTTGTGAGGCCCTGTAATTGGAGTTTTGTCTTTTTTGAAGCGGTTGACAAGAGGTTGCCGCTCCTTGGCGCTACTGGCGCCATTTGGATAGAAGTGGTGTTCATAGCCTCCTGTGAGGCACTGAACACCCGCTCCAAAGAGCGATTTAAGTGTCGCTTACACATCGTCTCAGTCGATGAAGTCTATGCCATTACCCAGGAGGAGGTTGTTGGGGCCTCCTTGGTCTCCTCATTGTTCTGGCTGGTGCCAGGGCTTGTAGAGGCCACCGGTGCGGACTGGTTGGCTGTGGGCGGGGCAGCGCTGGCTGCTCCCACCAGAGGGGCAGGTGGCTTTGACCTGGGCACGCTAGACGTGGTACAGGTAGCCGCCAAAGGCCATTGTGGTGCCACCCCTCGTTGCACCACTTAAGTGAAGGAAGTTCTCAGTGCGAAAGAAGATGAGACTCACTGTCGTGCTTCACAGAACGCTATAATTTCGTTAACTTTTATGGTGATAATTTTTTTTCTCTTTTCCAGGCTTGGCACACTCTGGAGTATGCGGCATGGCTGCCTTTGCAGTTTGCACAGTGAACCTCATCATATTCCCACTCATCAGTACCGTGACCAGTTATGCTGCATTTAACACAAGTAAACTGACCTCGGCAGGTGTCCGAGTCGCTGGCAGATAAAGCAATGTCTTGGGTTAGGAACGCACGGACGCACACGAAGTTTTACGTAGCCGGTTTTGAATGTCTGGGGTAGAATGGTTGAATTGAAAGTAAGTTTTAAGTGCTTTGTTACGGTGTCTGTGCTGTTGTGTCTGATTTTTATGCGCTGTACATGTGTTATGCCTTGGTCTTTCCATCCGTCAAAAAGTTCATCTTTGCTTATTGCCATAAGGTCTTGATCGGACGCTATGCCCTTCACGGTGTTCAGAGTACCATGTGTAGTAATTGATACAGGGATATTTCCAAATGCTACGAGGTGTGAAAGTTTGTTTGCTGTTCTTTGTCTTTTATTTCGAGGAAACTGTCCTCACTTGCCATCTTTGTGCCTTAATAGCCGGTCCCAAAGGTGTCTTTTAAGCACTTGGCCACGAAAAAAGGTGATATTGCTCTGGCTTTAGTTGATATTTCTTCACACTGAAGAACATGGTATCTTGGGAAACTTTTAGTGTTTTGGGAGAAAAACAAAGAGGATGCATCGATGCGTACCCTTTTCAGGGCACGATCGGTTACAGGAGGGTTCTGAGATTCCATGAAAAATGGCTTCTTCTGCAGAAAAATGGCTTCTGTGACAGATACAGGTGTGGTTCCGAAAGAGGTGAGTTTTGAGAGATTTTCGTACTGAGCCTTGCTTTGTACTGCGAGAAGGTTGCCACTAGCCTGATAACAAGTACCGAGGGTATTGGTGAGGCATTTTGATACGACAAATGAAGCGTATTTTTCTTGAGTTGTTTTGTGTTTCACAGTCAATCACATGGAAGTGCGGAAAGATTTCTCTGTGTTTTAGGAAGACATTCAGCATTCCTTCGGTGCACACCCTGTTAAAGGGAGGGAAATCAGACAGTTTGGGCAATAGAAAAGAGGCCATAAAGTATATATGAAATAGGCAGCCATGCCAGCCGCCCACCACTGAGCCCAACATTGGGACGCAGCAGTACAATGATAAAAAGGCATGCCAGCACCAGCTGTACAAAGCCACTATAACCCAATATTATGTGACCAAGAGAGGGCACATACACAAGGTTAACCCTTGCCACTTGGAAGATGGAAGTAAACAGAAATGAGAAGACGACAGGAAAGATTGAAAGAGCAAAAAGACGGAGATGTAGGAAGAGAGAGATGGGAAAAGGCGACTGCCGGTTTTCCGTGGGTGGGTCAGCTCAGGGATGCTGTCTACGTGAAGCCTGGGCCAAAAGGGTGTGTTGCCTCTGCCGGGGG